GCGGAGCTTGGTCAGGAGGCGAGGGGAGTCGACGGGAGTCGAGCGGCGAGTGTGGGGGTCTGAGGGAAGACCGAGGGAGGTCGAATGGACGAGGGGGTGACGAAGATCTGGGCAGATCTTGGCTCAGCAGCGACAGCCAGAACGACTTGCTGCGCCCATGTCGGTAGATGAGAGTGGCTGTGGAGGATCGCTGTCGTTGCCCGTTAAGGCAACAGATGAGCCAGAGGGACGGTTCACGAGAAGGAGGGACAGTTCAGAGTGCTCAGGGTTCTCAGCATGCAGTTGCATTACACGGCGGGATCTACCCCAACACGCGCAGCCTCTGACACAGCGGGCCGGTCTTCTGTCTCTGCTTTCCTCACACTTCTACTCGCAACTTGAGCTACGCTGTGATCTATAACTCCTTCCTCGACGGCATGCCAAGATTCATTCAGAACTCCGGGCTCTGGGCGCTTCTCATCGCTCATGCCGCTTCCCAAGTGTCTGACCCCATCTGCAGACCCATCGAGGCGGTGCGGCCTTATCTGGAATCAACCGAGAGCATCAACGTCACCGACACGGCGGGGACTCTTACCTTCCAAGGCCGCACTGCTGCTGCCAATGAGTCGCTGCGCGGCCTGCTGATCTTCCCTGATCCTGCCATCGACTCTTGGGCCCTTGCGCCGCTGGCGCACCAGCTGGTGACGGAGCTGGTGATGGGCGGAGGGTTTCTGCGGAACGCTTTGGTGATCGTGCCTTCGTGTAGCACGTGTGTGTGGGACCTACTGGAGGAGATGGAGAAGCACGAGGTGGCGTTTTGGGGTGTGCTCGGGCAGGGCAAGGGCGTCAGGACCGCTGTGCAGTTCGCCCTGAACTTCCATCCGAAGGCAAGACAGACATGCAATGCAGTGCATTCACTCTCGCCTGTTGACCATGCGATTGATTGTCCATCGCTCTGCATCTGTGTCTGTGTGTGTGTCTGTGTGTCCGGTTCCCAGGTGAAAGGCCTGGTCGTTCTAGGGGGGGTGCCTGAGGACCAGCGCAAGACGCTGAGGGAGAAGAACATCCTCGTGCAGGTCTTTGGCGGTGAAAGCGATGAGACCGTCCCCCTGTCGGCCATCCAGGCCTCCCTGTCCCACTACCCCATCAACCCCCTTGTCAAGCTGCTGCCCAACGTCACCCATGCCGACTTGGCCTGGCACGAGCTGCCATGCCCACCGCCATCCGTGCCAAACACACACGACGACTCTTTCGCCCCCAATGCACGCCTCGACGAGCGGCAGAGGCTCGTTGACGCACTCATCGGCAGCTCGAATGACTCCTTCACGGACCGGCCTCTCCAGCTGGTGCTAGGCGGCCTGCACTACCCCGCTGTGGAGCACCAGGGCAAGCAGTACCTGCGGAGCGGCGATGGCGTCCAGGTGGAGACCGACGAGAAGAGGGGGTGGATTGTCTTTCGGGGCGGCGGCGGCGGCGGGGATAGGAAGCCCTACCGTGCCGGCATCGTCTTCTATGTGGGTGCCTACGTCCCGACCGAGGCCTACGCCGGGCTGCTGCGGCCTCTGGCTGCCAGGGGGTACCTCATTGTGGCCCTCATCTCGCCCATCAACCTCTCGCCCATCAGTCCGGTGGATCAGGGCGGCACCGTGCTCGAGAAGTTCGGCAATGAGACCACCGACTGGTTCGCAATGGGACACTCGGCAGGTGCGAACGCATAACACACAGCGTGGCGGATGTCTGAACATCTGTCTGTCTGTCTGTCTGTGGATGAATGGATCTGCTTCCCAGGCGGCTACGCAGTGGGTGCCTTCTGTGAGGCGTTCAGCGACATGGCGACACCGTCATCCGTCCCACGTGTCCGTGGCGGGGTGTTGGTGGCGGGGTCACTTGGAGCGGTCGGCACCGCCAACTTCACCCGCCTGGCTGAGGAGGGCAGCGAGGGGGCGGCGAGACTCCGATTCCTGCTGGTGGTCGGCTCACGGGACTTTCTCAGAGAGGGCGATGATGAAGTTGATAGTGAGCACCAGAAGAGACAGACAGTTGCGGGCGCGGGTGGATCGCTGGGGTTGTGTGTCAGTTGCCATTCGGACGATCGATGAGCGGTTCTTGTCGGCAAATATCATCCCCAGGGGCAACTTTGCGTGGCACATAGTTGAGGGCGGCAACCATGACCAGGTCAGTTGCTCAATCCCGCACTCACTGCCTGCCTGCCTGCCTGCCAGCCTCACCGGCTCCTCAAACCCCCCCGTGTGTGTGTGTGCTGGCATTTGATATGCAATGCAGTGGGGTTTCTATGGCGAGCAGAGCTTCCCACCAGGCTTCGAGGTCTAGATGGAGAGATGGATAGCGGCCACGTTTACCCTGACCTCTCTCTCTCTCTCTGTGTGTGTGTGTGTGCGTGCAGAGGGCCTCCATCTGTCGGTCTGCGCAGATAGCCGAAGGCGTGCGCGAGATGAACTACTGGATCAGGGAGGTGCTCGACGAGTCCCGCGAGGGGCGCCCAGAGCTCTCCGTGTGACCGACCGACCGAGCAACACATCACTGCGCGATTTTCTTCTCCCTCCCTTTAGTGCCAGACTCCCTGCATGGCGCGTTGCCGGCGGGCGGGAGAGGCTTTGGTGTCTGGTCTATATATAGATGTGTGCATATCGTCTGTGTGCGTGGTAAGGTGGTGTACGGTACGGGCCCTCGGCTGTAGCCTGTGAGTGTCAGTGTGAAGGGTGTGGGTAAGTAATACTAGGCTGCTATGCCCACCGGCCGGGAGCAGTCAGTCCATATCGCTCATGCTTATGTATGTAAGTGTCTGGGTATCAGACAGCGGCCCCAAGCTGGCCGCCACTGGCATGGTTTGACGAATGAATGGTGGTCCTCTCCCTTTTCCGTCGACCATGGTCAGCCGCCACTGTTGTCTTTGACAGACAGACAGACAGACAGACAGACAGACGGGGAGGAAGATAAACATGTTGTTGCTGTGTTTTGCCTTCATCCTTGAGTGTCGCCTTTCGTCTGTCCCTCTCGTCGTCCTTCGTCGCCATGCTCGCCACCCTTCCATGTCACTCGTGGCATGGTGTGTGGTGGATCGGTGGCGGGGCGGCGGCCGGAGGACAGAGAGGACAGACCAAAGGAAGCAAGCAACACCCACACACACCAGACAGACAGACAGACAGGCCGGCCCTGTGTATCTGCCCGACATGAGACCCTCAGTCAGTCTGTCATCTCGTCGTTGCATTGGACACACCTCCCGGCAGCTCACTGGCCTGCCTTCTGTCTACCACGGCCACCGTCACCTTGGTCTTTCGGTGCCGTGTGAGTGCACTGTGGGACTGAGGTGGTGGCGGGGGTGGGAGGCAAAGCGGGACAGAGAGCGAAAGGGCGTTCTTTGTGTGAGTCCACCGGAGTCAGTGGGGACTCCACTCATTGCAGATAGATGAATCCATCAAACGTCCGTGTAGAGCACCTGAAGGGGGGACGTGAATACACCGTTGAACGTCTGGGCGGGCCAAGACCGAACCCTGCAGGGATGCGAGCTCAGAATCCCCATCTCTCCCTCGCTGTGTCTTGAAAGATCTGTATCACCACTTGCCCATTCCACCATGAACGGCACCGCCGCCGACCAGGCCGTGGCCTCCACAGCCGACAGCGACGTCAAGAAGAAGCCTCCCAAGCCTGCCGCAGCAGCGGCAGCAGGCAAGGACGACAGGCTGAAGGAGAAGGAGGCACCAGCCGGCGCCAAGGGGGGCGGTCCTCCCAAGAACAACAAGAAGCCTGCTGCCAAGAAGGACAAGAAGGGCGACGAGGAGGAAGATAATGAGTCCGGCAGCGATGATGACAGCGACGACTCGAGCGACGACTCGAGTGACGACAGCAGCAGCGACGACAGCAGCGATGACGACAGCGACGAGGAGGAGAGCGACGAGGAGGAGGAGGATGACGAAGAGATGGAGGCGCCCAAGCCGAAGAAGCAGCCCAAGGCCAAACCCAAGAAGGAGGCGGGCGGCAAGACGGCAGCGGCGGCAGGCAAGGACAAGGACAAGGACAAGGACAAGAAGAAGGACAAGAAGCCTGCTGCTGCTGCGGCGGCGGCCAAGGGTGGCGGCGGGAACGGTGGGAACAAGAAGCGCAAGCTGGACGACAGCGACGTGTTCATCATCAACCACCAAACACGAAACGACAAACAGGGTCTCGTCTCCAAAGTGCTGTGCAGGTCGGTCAACCACATCGGACCACACGCCCCACACAGCGCACAGCACACCATATCTATGCGTGTGTGTGTGTGTGCGGTGCAGGTGGTGGTATGTGATGGCCGAGTGGCCGCCCGAGGATTTTGACTACGACGGCGAGCTGCGGAAGCAGAAGCTGCGCCGCGTGGAGATCGACGAGTGGGAGGACACAGAGGACTGCGACGAGGAGGGATACACCAAAGTCTACGAAATCTCACACTACAGAGGTGAGTGGAGTGAGTGAGGTACCAACCGGGGCGCCCCGCCCACCCCACACACCGCCCACAACACCATGCACCGTACACCATCCGCCCGTGTGTGTGGTGTGTGGTGTGTGTTGTGTTCTGTGTGGCCACTGGCAGGTTGTTTCCGCGACCCGAGTGGTCGGTTCATCGACGTGCGTCCGCGTGAGGGCTGCCCGTGTTACAACAACATGATGAAGAAGAACGAGCGGGAGCTGGCAGAGATGCTGGTCGAGGCCATCCAGAAGCAGCAGCAGGAACTCGAGACCTCACCATTCGACGAGAGCGAGACCAAGGAAGAACTCAAAGACGTGGGATAGTGGGACAGCCATGCACACGCCCAGACAGAGGCTGGCTGGCTGGAACGATTTGGTATGGTGTGAATGAATGGCATGTGGGTGTTTGTGTTGCAGGAGTTGGCAGCGGCCAAGAGGGCGCTGAAGAGCGCCAAAGGGTGACGGACAGCATGTGATGTGCTGAGGAGGAGATGCAGGTCGGTCGGTCAGGCAGCCTAGCTATCAGTCATCCGACACAGATGCGGGTCGCCGACTGGCTCATCCGAGTTCTGTCGCTCTCTCTGTGTGTGTGCGCGTGTTGTGTTATAGGTGTGTCACAGATTGACACGCCCGGTGTGTGGTGTGGCTGCTGAGTAGTCGGGTTTCCGTTCGTGTGTCCGTCCGTCAGTCAGTCGGTCAGTCAGTGTGTGCAAGTCCCTTTCCTTACACGGTCCCAAGATTCGATTCGATTTCCGCTTGTGTGTAGAAGGTGGTAGGTAGCCGTGATTAAGCTGAATCAGTGGATGGATGGATGGATGGAAGCGTGTGACTGGTGAGTGAGTATACAGACCCTTCCCGTCTTCGTGATAATTCAATCCAGGCCATGTTTGTTGCACAACACACCGCACCGCGCCCTCCACCGATTGATAAGCAGGCTAGGTCTTCACACACACACACACACACACGCACGCACGTATCCATCCCATGCATCTACGTCTACGCTACCCATTCAGAAAATCCCCCCCCCCCCCCCCCCCCCCCCCCCCCCCCCCCC